CAAACAAATTATAATTGATCAAACTTTCCACCTGATGGCTGCCAAAACCATTGCACCCAACTCAACTACAAACAAGAGCAGGGCTTTCAATGGAAATGTTAAATCAGTGGTTCCAAAACACTGAAGCATTTATTTGATGAATTGTAAAAGGAAATGGAATGTGGTTTCACCAGTAAAATCCTGAATACAAAGCACAATCAAAGCAATGGCTACCAAGAGAGGTTAGTGGTTCATTCAAAGCAAAAGCAGTCCAGTTAAGAGCAAAGGTCATGGCAACAGTTTTTGAGATGCTCAAGGAATTTTGCTTGCTGACTTTCTGGAGGGCCAAAGAATAACATCTGCTTATTATAAGGGTACTTTGAGAAAGCTAGCTAAAGCTTTAGCAGAAAATCTCCGGGAAAGCTTCACCAGAGTCCTTCTCCAAATGACAATGCTCCTGCTCAGTCCTCTCATCAAACAAGGGTGATTTTGTGAGAGTTTTGATGGGAAATCATTAGACATCACCTTACAAGTCCTGATTTGCTCCCTCTGACTTTATTTCGTAATCTTAATCTTTAAAAGGCATTCGTTTTTCTTCAATTAATAATGTAAAAAAGACTGCATTGACATGGGTAAATACCTCACAACTTTTCAGTTCTTCAGGGATGGAGTAAGAGGCTAGTATCATGGCTTACAAAAGTGTCTTGAACTTGATGGAGCTTACGTTGAGAAATAAAGTTTTTATTTTATTTTATTTTTATCTTTTACTTCCATTTTCCACATACTTTTTGAAGTTTCCTTGTAATTTATGGCCAAGGGGCAGACAACGATGGTTTTTAAAATATGTCCACAAATTCTTTGACATTTCCCCATTTGAATGTGGGCTGGACCTAGTGACTTGCTTTTTATGATGAGAATATGATAGAAGTGGTGGCATGTCACTTGCAAGATTAGGTTTAAGAAGACCATGGCTTTTATTTTGGGTGCTCTCTCTCTCAGATCACTTGTTCTGGGGGAATGCATGTAATGAGCAGCCCTATGGGAAAACCTGTGTAGCAAGTTGCTGAGCTTCCTGTCAACCAAGTGAGTTGAAAGCAGAACCATTTCTTCCAGTTAATTCTGTTGAAACTATAGCTCTGGCCAAGAGTTTGACTGCAAACTTATGAGACAGCCTTAATCAGAAATACCTGGGCTTATCCAGTCTTGGATTCCTGACTCGCAGAAACTATGTCAGATGATAAATGTTTGTTGTTTTAAACTGCTAAGGTTGTTACGTAGCAATAGATAACTGATTCACTCTCTGTGTAGTTCCCTCCTTTCTGGTACTCTGCCCTATAAATTCTAGCCTCCTTCTCTGCCTCCTCAACTCAGCTTGTATTCAGGGCTCTGTCTGGCTTTCTTCTCTCTGTGTTAAGGCCTGAAACTGCCTCCAGGTAGTAAGCTGGGGAAATTGTAGTGACCAATTCATTTACTTCTCTTCTCTCCTAAGTCATAACCCTAATCTCCCTGTTGTCCAATATCTAAAAACCTGTACTATGTTTTCCAATTGCCTAAGGTGAGAGTTAACTACAGTCCCTATAATTCCATTATGGCCAGAACTAGCTTAAGATTTGATGTCAGTTTAGATGTGAGTTCTACTGGGAGTTGGTATCTTCATGGAACTCAGTGAAAGAGTTCTTTGTATTTTCTCGAGACTTTAAGAATTTGGTGGGGGGAGGGCGGGTGGATTTAAGATTAGCTTAGGTTAATTTTAACCTAGGGTAAGATTAGGTTGTGAGAGGCTTAGTGCCAATGAGTGAAGAGAACAAGGGAGAGTTGACAGCATCAAGTCCAACTTTCTATATGGAGGAGCCTGGATTATAAATGACAATATGAGCACCAAAACAGTTGATTCCACTTACTCTGATACTTTGTCATTTACCTCTTCTCCTTCTGTCCTTATTCTAAGAACACAAAAGCAGTGCTCTGTTGGTGTTACCAACCATCTGGTGACATATGTTGTGATCTGTCTTACCAACATATTTTTCCCAGCTGCTCTTTTCTTTCGTCTAAGGTTGGTAATGCACACACATGCCTCAGTCCTGCCTTTTCTTCTCTATTTCACCACACACAGTTTACTCAATTCCAAATTAGGCTAGTTCTTTCTTTTATATACACAGGTACTCGAATTCACTCACTTTAACTGATGCTGTTACTTGCATATCTAAGTCTCTCCTAGAGCACAAAAATTCACCACACATTTCTCTCTTAGGCTTGCTCATTCTGTAAACCAGATAAATCATGCTGATAGTGGCTAATCACCAGCAGAGCCAGTGATGCAACTCCTGATCAAGGAATTAGAATTGGAACAAAATACCATAAAGAAATCAATTTCCATCACTTTCTAAAGCATATTGGAGAATTTCCTGATAATTTCTGAACCTATTCAGTGTAAATCCTTGAATTAGTCAGGTGATATATAAAAGAAATCATTCCTACCTTTCAAAAACATTGATAGTCTAGTAGGAGAGATAAGTACATAAGTCATTAAAGCTCAAGTGACTTATAAATGTCTCTAAAATATGTAAATACATTATAACAGTATTTCAAAAGGGAAAAAAGAGAAGAGTTAGCTGGGAATTAGACAAATCTTTCCATAACAATTAATATTAACCTTTACCATGAAGGATAGGTAGGGATTATATATTAGTAGGAAAAAAAAGGCAGCAATGCAAACTTACATTGGTAAGCTGTGCTTTTGAGTATATTTAACTTAGTTATACAACTCATTTAGTTTTAAAAAATCATGAATGTTCTCTAATAATAATAATAATAACTTAATATGCATTATTCCTTCAGTGCTGCTTTTTGTTGTTGTTGTTAAAGTATGTGTGAGAAACGTGCTAAGGCTCATCTATTGGAAATATTTCATTGAAATTAGCTTTCAATCTTAATAGCTTCCTGTACTCGAAAAATAAACTGCCTCTGATTTTTTTGCCTAGCTTTAAATCTGTATAATTGAGTCTCACGAAAAAAAAGCATTTAGGTTTCTAAGTAACCCAGATATTTCTTGAGCATCTGGAAACCCACACCTTAGTTACTCCAGCATTAGAGATTTTATAAGACAGGGTTTAGAGGCAGATCACTCTTGACAAACTCACCTAGAGTGTTTTTGCCTTTGTTTCTAAACTCTGGACAACTCAAAGAAAGTATTATAGGACCCAGCTTATTCAAACAATGGCTTTCCTTTGAAATAAGATCGTCTGCTTCCCTTAAAGGCATAGTAGTCACCTTTGACACAAGGAACAGAAGGTAAAACAACAAAGGAAGTGGTGAACCAACCTCAGTGTTGCAATTAAAAAAAAAAAAAAAACACACACACACTGATTTGCATTACTTCTCATTTCTAGGTGTCTGGCCTAGTCCAGAGGATGCAAATGGCAGTTCAGATCAATCATCCTTAAATCTGATATGAACGCTTTGATGTGGCTGAGGGAGAGGTGTGGAAAGGGGAGTAGGTACCATGAAGAGAACTGCAACAAAGGAAAAAAAATATTTGGGGTTGAATTGCCCCCAAAGAGGACAGAAACAGCAAAAATATATTTTATATGTACAAGTAAAAAGTACAGAAGGCAAAATAATCTTACCTGGTCTGAGATCTTTAGAATATAATGTTTAATGTTGATTCCCTTACTCTTACTCCTTTTAGGACTCCGTGTGTGTGTGTGTGTGTGTGTGTGTGTGTGTGTGTGTGTGTGTGTGATGGGGTGGGGTAGGGAAGGAGAGAAACTGATAGTACTGATGAATGGTGAGCTATAAAGATAAGGAAGGAAAAGAGGCTCTGAAACGTACGGGTGCCTACTCTCTTGGGAACCTTTAAAGCACATTCCATGACAAATTACATTATCTCCGGGCTTAGAAAATTCCGACAAAGATGAGAAGACAAATCAAAGGCCTTTGGTAAATGAGGCCTGAGCTTTGTGGTCAAGTCTGCACTAATTTTCGCCTTGTGTGATGTGTGAATTTGACAAAAAGAGGAGCTGGATTGAGGAGTGGGATGGGAAGGGGGAGGCACCTCTACCTGCACACACCTCAACTGACTGGTGGGGGGCAGGGGATGGATGCAAATCAGGCCTTCCCGAGTGGCCAATCAATAGTCAGGTGAGGGATTTTGGGTCCCCACCCCATCCCAACCGGCGTTTGAACACGTGCACAGTGTTCTGGGACCTTTGTCCCGCAAAGTCACGCTTGGCGGGCACCCCTTGGTCCCTTTTTCTGATCAGATGTCCTTGATTCTTTTCTGCTCTACAACCCACCTCTCTAGTCGTGTCTTTCCATCTCCCTACTCATTCCCTTCCGCGCTGCTGCGGGTGAGAGCTTTCAGCGTTGCGTCCCAAGGAGCGTGAGGAGTGTGCGGAGCTTGGCACACCAAGTTGCTGAGACTGTGACACCAGCCTCCGCCCGTTCCGCGCGGGTGCAGCCGGCGAGCCTCGGCTCGGACACCACAGCTCTCCTGCCCGCGCCGGGCAGTCCTCCGCCTGTCCAGAGGCAGCAATCCCGGCTCTCGGCTGGCTGTGGGTCTGTCCTGTGGGGCTCCAGCACTAGCCTGCTCGGCCTCGGAAACTCCTGCAGCGTCCAGAACACAGAAAATAGACTCATCACCTAATTTGCCAGGGAGCTCCAGCGCTGCGGGGCCGCGGCACTGC